TGTCTATAAACGATATATTTGAGATAGATAGCATGAAAAGCTACACAATTTTCATGTACACAATAGATAGTTGTTGGATGCATGTGAAATAGATATAACACTTGTTGATCATAGAGCTTCGTTGAAGTTACTAGAGCTATGGCTTTGTAATCGCATGATGAAGATAGAAGAATAAGTCTTTCGTGCGTATTATTTGCTTCCCATAGTTTGTTTGAGCTTGGTATTTAAGTGATACTGATATATGAAAAGTAAAGCAATAATGGTATGACGTCTGGATTGGCACCATTTACTCTGTATACGAAGGTAATTAGTGATAATAATTTCGAGGCTTCGCATCGGAGTCAGTAACGAAGATGGATACAATCTTCTTTGGTACTGTTTGTTTACTATGTGAAACAGAATCAAACCATAATTCGGATGTAAGTTATTCATATAGTACATCGAACTGTGTCATGGGATTGATATATATCTGGAGAGAAGACCGCTATTTCAATTAGGAGACTCATCGAAGATTATTAGAAGAAGTAGAGTGAATGAGAGCGAACTTTTATCCTTGGAACAGTTGACAGGTGTTATTCCCGAGAGTAGGCCATTTGGAGAGATGCAAGAAGTGATGATTTTTCCGAATGATACTGATGCGAGTTGTAGGAATCCTGAAAATGATCAGGGTTACAGGCGCGATCGTGGCAGTGACTAATGTTTCTTTTTTTACAACGAGCAAAGATTAGATATGGAACGATTGTAATGAACAAGGTAACTTGAATGGTGCATATTTTCCTTATCTTTTTTTGCGCTCCAACAATACTTAACAAGCTGGAAAGAAGATAGGATGAATTGATTACGGCAGCATTATATTGACTATACAAAGTGTTGATGGGATTTTGTGTAAATTTTTCCCATGTAGGTTTTGCGGTTGTGGGTGAGAATGAAAGATCATTCTCATCCTCATTCTGAAAATTCGTGTTTCAGTTAAGGATAAAATGAATGGTATCATCAATTAATAAGAACGATTGCGAGGCCATCATATTACGCCAATTATATCAGTGTCATTTTCGTATCAGTTATCGAGCATTCATATTTTCATACCCCATACGAAGTTCGAACAGCGAAAATAACAAAACAAGATATATTTTGATAATTTTAGTTTCAGTATGTTTTGCTGTTTAAGATTTTAGCTTTTCGACGTTTTTACTTTTTTCAATTTTATTTTCGGCTTTCTTCTTTTGACATAAATTAAGTGAATGAAAAATAATGCATTGCTGGGGAAAATCTTTGACGTTCCAGTGTCAGATCCTTTCCAGGTACGGCCAGGATCCTGCAAGGATTCACTCCTTTCCCTGAGGAAACCACTAGTTCCTGAAAGAAACGTGTATCCGTTAAATTCAAGGATCCTGTCATGATTGGAAACAGGATTTTTTGAAAGATTCTGTCATATTGGCTTCAAGATTTTTATAGGATTCTTCCAGGATTTTCACAGCTATTGTTAAAAAAAACTTAGAGTCCATTCAGGATACTATTTGATTCCATCACATCTTCCTTTAATTTTTCTGATGGAACCTGGCAGGATCTATTACGACTCAGCATGTAATACTTTGTTAGTGCATACTTACTAGTGTAGAACTTACCAGTATCGTGACAGGATTGTGCCAGGATCGTTGCATGATAACCTAAACAGAACAGAAGAAACGTGAACACATGGAGTATTGAACTCTAGACCTTCAGTTCATGAACTGAACAGCTAACCCAGCTGGAATGTATTCTCGTTTGGAAGTAAAGCAACACGTAATCTTTATGCTTATTTCGTTCTTAATTTTTTGTTATTCATTTAATTCAAAATTTAATGAATACATCTTTCAATTTATCCATTATTTTTTAATGTTTTTTTTTTATCATTGGCTCAATCAAAAATGATTTAAATTTTTTTATTGTGTACTTTTATTTAATTAGGTTCATAGGCACATCAGTAGCTTGTGAGAATCTTAAATTCATCATGAATAGGAACAAAAAAACAGCGAGAACGAATAGAAACTATAGGACAAATATCAATATGATCAGATTTTAAGAGGGACGGTTCAACACGCTTAACAACAATGTACACGNAGAAACGTGTAGCCGTGAAATTCAAGGATCCTGTCAGGATTGAAAACAGGATTTTTCAAAGATCCTGTCATATTGACTTCCAGATTTTTATTGAATCCCTTCAGGATTTTCACAGCTATTGTTAAAAAAAACTTAGAATCCATTCAGGATACTATTTGATTCCGTGACCTTTTCCTTTAATTTTCCTGAAGGAACCTGACAGGATCTATTACGACTCAACATGTAATGCTTTGTTAGTGCATACTTAGTAGTGTAGAACTTACCAGTATCGTGACAGGATTGTGCCAGAATCGTTGCAGGATAATCTAAACATAACAGAAGAAACGTGAATACATAGAGTATTGAACTCTAGACCTTCAGTTCATGAACTGAACAACTAACCCAGCTGGATTGTGTTCACGTTTGGAAGTAAAGCAACATGTAATTTTTATGCTTATTTCGTTCTTAATTTTTTGTTATTTATTTAATTCGAAAATATAATGAATACATCTTTCAATTTATCCATTATTTTTTAATGTTTTTTTTATCATTGGCTCAATTAAAAATGATTTAAACTTTTTTATTGTGTACTTTTATTTAATTAGGTTCATAGGCACATCAGTAGCTTGTGAGAATCTTAAATTCATCACGAAAAGGAACAAAAAAACAGCGAGAACGAATAGAAACTATAGGACAAATATCAATATGATCAGATTTTAAGAGGGACGGTTCAACACGCTTAACAACAATGTACACGTTATCTATAAAACCTTTAATAGCAGGTACATATCTGTACGATGAAAAACAAGAAGTTAAAGAATAATTAACACGAGTTAATTTTTGGATAACAGCTGAACAATTTCCATCCGTTGAAAAAAAAAGAAGAGTATATAACCATACGCAAGGACATCATTTTTCTCATAAGAAACTAAATGGTTACACGTTGGACCTTTTCGAGAATAAAGAAAAGAATGATAAGTGGTATTAAGATAATGAAGACGAGAAAAAAATATCGTATTAGAAGAAATATATTTGTTCTCATACAAAAAAATCAATTATCGATTGACTGATTTCTATTTTTAATATATTACTACCAAATGTTTCATTATTAATTGAGAAATGACCAAAATGACGATCATCATTTCCTTGTATTTTTGAAAGAAAAGAAATTGGAAATAAATGCAAAAGCCAATTGATTTCCTGCTCCAGAAGAACCTTTCACAAATGCTTTCAAATGGCCAAGAAAACTTTCGAAAACAAAGTTTGTTAACCAGTTTAATCGACCGATTTTTTTACATTGAAAAGAAAGATGGAGATGAGTATGAGTTAATATTGTAAGTAGTTTGGGTGGACACACATTGGAAATAACATTTTTTGATAAGTTTTTAATGTAAATTTTCAATAAACTAGATATTGAATCACCTAATTTTTTATCATTATCCCAATAGTCATGTAAAAGACGAAGAATAACATTGTATAAAGCAAAATCTCCAATTCTTTCTTCAGGTAAAAATTCAGCAAGTACAGGCAAGCCAATATATAAAATAAATAATCGTACTTCAGATACTTTCCATTTTTCAACATTGGAGAATAATCGTGGTCGACGAAGAATATCATGTATAAAACTTATTGAACGAAGTTTTAAATTAATTTTTAAAAGATTTTCTTTTGTGATAAATGTTTGTAAATGAATAAGAAGTTTTTTGGAATGACATAAGAAAACTGTATGCATTGCACCAATAACAACTGAGTGAGGTAGAAAAACGTCGAGAATCTCGGAAAAAGCACTCAAACCTTTGACACCCATTGTTCTTTTCCGATCTATTCGTGTTTGCATTAAAGCAGCTAATTGAGCACATTTGTCGAAATTCTCGCTCGTCCTTAAATCCGTATTATTATCGATAAGATATATTACGCAATGCCCATCATGATTGTAGGTCCCTTTTATGTTGCAAAACATGCATGCATAGAAAGCATTATGTTCTACAAACTGGACCATAGTAGATAAAGCAGCCATATCGTCCATAAGCATAGCAAAGAGAACTTTTACTATTTGGTTATTATTAACGTCAATACCCCCATTTTTAAGACGAGATATTTATTTAGAAAGTTTTTCAAAAATAATATTAAAGTTTGGCTTTTGTTTTCCTATCCAAAGAGAAAGAAGAAGAGTATTATCAGCACGAGTTCTAGAATATGGTGGAAGTTCCAAAACAGCATCTAATATAGGCCATGCATTACAATTTTTAGATTTATAAAGACGAATGCCGACATTGAATCATAACAGATACAAAAAAATCTTTATGAACATTTAGTATAGATTGATAAACATCACTTCTAATAACATCGTTTGCATCAGATGTAGTTTGTGTTCGTGCTTCATTTTTGATGTTTTTGAAGTAGATCTATATTTTTATCAATTAATATCTTCAACTGTTCAGCTAAATGGAATGAGACAATTTGAAGTAGGTCATCGGATGGAGTGTGCATTGGT